TTTTATTTTCTCCTTGATGCTGCTGTTACCTTGTGGGACTGAACAGAAGTGAATCTGTCCTACTTCTCTCACAGGTGACCCAAATGCTGTACGGTTTTCTTGTTAAGTCAAATAACTCCTGGTTCCAGCAAATGGTACCTTCGGACTTCGCGATTCATCTGCGTAAGTTGATCCTGTTTTGTACTAGACTGTTAAAAATGTTGTAGGAATAAAAAGGCTTGTTATGTGTCTTCAATATGTTTCATCTTTATTTATAAAGCACTTTAAAACAACCACAGCAAAGTGCTGTATGTTGGAACTAAAAAATAAAATTACATAAGATATAAATAAAATCCAAATAAAAGAACAAAGTAAAATAATGAATTAATTAGTTAATAACAAATTTAATTAAAAGGAAAAACGAAGTCCTTCTGAAGCCAAAAGCCAAAGAATAAAAATGGGTTTTAAGCCGTGTTCTAAAACCCATTTCTATGGGTTTTGTTGATAAATGTTGCTTCTTAACACCTATTTAGATGCTGTTTACAATATTGTCCTATTGTTGTTTTGAAGTATGAAGCCTTAAATGAAGCTTATCTTTTTATCAAAACTTTATTTCCTCACAAAATACTTTCTTTCTCTCAGGTGAAAGACCCACAAACTTCTACGTGGGGGTGACACAACAGCACAGTGAACCGACTCTTCTGGTCCAATACCTGCTGGCCAACCTGACCGGCACCACCGTTAACATCACCCAGGACAACTGCCAGAACCAGAGAGAGGGCGAGGATGACAAAGAGAGCAAACATGTAAGATTTACAACAGTGTGTATTTTTTTTGAAAGTCAACTTGGGTGTAAGTTGCCCTCTGGCAATTTAAGTAAGAACTTTAAAACCTTTGGAACATCATTTATCTAATTCCTCCCTTTAACACATTGTTCTCAACCTGTCCCTCAGATATACAGCTACATGTGGGTTCAAGGTGCAGCACCTCCCAACAGTACGGAACGAGTGGCATTCTGCGTTCGCTCCACAGTTCGTCTCTCCAAAGCGCTGTCCCCGGCCTTCGACCTGGAGGAGTACACCTCCAAAGATTACTCAACGTGGACGGAGTCCAGGTGGAAGAGCATTAAAGGGCGCATATTCCTGGTGGCCAGTCATGAACTGGAGGTAAACTTTTCCTCAAAGACACCACAGATGTGACTGATGCACACACACAGCAGAGAAGTTGTTCTACAACTAAAAAGTTTGATATGTGAATGCAATAACTCGAGACAATGCAACATAGGATTTTGAAGTTGATACCATTGATAGTTGCATCTACTAGCAGGCTGAGGGGTAGCACTGTTGGCCTCCAGTACTTTTTTGTAAGCAGTGATCTCATTGTTAGTGGAGGGCAGGGATTGTTTTAAGGCACGCGAGTGCTTGTGGGAAAGTCTCATGTTGAAAAAAATGGCTTCCAAACAGCAACAAGAGACCAAATTTGCATGGTAATTGTAACAGTGTCCATGATTGGTTGTTATTTTCTCTCTGATCTAGATTTTCTCACAGTAGTGTTTGTGATTTTTAGCGGCCGATCCGGCCTAAACCAACAACTCTGGTTTCCAGAACTACAGCAACAAAAGAGCCTAACAACAAAAACAAAACTGGTTAAATCCTGGCAGTGACTGATTGCGTGCGTTGAACAAATTTCAGGTCTCTGCATGTTCATCAACACATTGTGCTAAAACAAATCGAAACTCTTTTATTTCAGTGTTTGATACAATCCGATTTTGTTAATGTGGTAACTGCATCTCACTGCTTAAACTGGCGCCTTTGGGTTCACCGTTTGTATCACTGCAGCTTTAAAGTCACATGATAATGTGACTGAGTTATTTTTAATATAACAGCTCATCACATGAGTGCAAAGCCACAGGGAGCTGGAACTCGACTTCCCTCATTCTATAGACAGTTTTACCCCTGTGATAGCTGGAATAATCGCTTCCACAGTAAAGCATTTAGCTACAATCGGAACTACTTGATGTTTAAATGTGACTATAAATAAAGGTGATGATATCTTGTTGCTGCTGTGTACACCCTGGGGGGTAACAGAAGTTGATACAGTAACTTTGTGGTATGTTTAGAAGCTAAAACTGCGTGTGAAAACCTTCTTGTTGTATCTGTAACGATTGCCCTTTCTCCTCCAGATGTTGACGCTCGGAGTCGGTGTCGCCGTGCTGATAGCATCCTTAATGTTGACGTACATCATCAGCTCAAAGGCCGACATACTCTTCAGCTCAGGGAGGGAGCCCACCGCTGCCACCTACTGATTCACTCAGAAGCGTCTCAGACCCACGACCACTACTTCTACTACTATTGCTACTACTACTACTTTTATCCCAACCAGACATGGACAGTTTTCTTTAAAACACACCACGAGTAGGTACACAGACAGGTTAGTATCAGCTGCATCGAGGTGGGGGAGGGGGGTCGGGGGGGGTGAGGGGTTCCTTTTAGACGACGACTCCGTGTTTATGGACTCACTCATGTGAGGCGTGACATGAGGACTGGACCGGACTGGATTTGCCTGGATGGATCTGGACTCATCAGGGTCATAAAACACACTGGTCAGGCACCAGCAGGCCCTGCCAGTGGAAACGATGTTTATATTTTTTGTTTTAGGTTTTTTTTGTTTTGTTTTGTTGGGTTTTTTTTCCCTTTTATCCTAAAAGAATGTTTTGTTTACTGTGTCATGGGATAGGCACTAAACATTGAGCATTACTTTGAGCTGTGTGTATGATTTTGAAAATGTGAATGCAACCGTGTGTGTGTGAACAATTATAAGTGTGCGCACGTCTGTGTGTGTGTGTGTGAACTTTGTATGAGGATTGCGATGGTATGTGCAATACTGTAGCTGTCTTCTCTGTCAGTGTAGTTAACTTATCAATCAGTTTTAATGATAAGAAACCACTTTGAGTCAATGAGCAAGTAGTAATATTACAAATTTAACATTTTGCAAAATCTGGAAATGTGCAGTGAAAGATTTTGATAATAAATCAGTATCATTCAGTCCAAGTACACATGATGAAACTGTACTTGTAGACCCACTGCAGTTTCACATATTGTGATATTTGAATGGGAATTTTCCAAGAGTCTGGCATGGCTGAAAAAAACACTTTATTTCTCATCAGTCAGCGGCCATAATGTATTAAAAAAGCAGTCAGAAAGATCCGTTTTAGCAGTGAAAAACAACATGCTGGTACTCTGCCTTTGCACTCTTTGGTTTTTTGGTTTTTTTTTCCCAATGAAGTTTATTTTCTGAAAATTGTATGACACACGAGATTAGTGATGGGTGTTTGTTTTAATAGATGGAATTAAAAGACCGATTGTGATGCCTTGATGAAGAAATAAACATTGCTTCTTTTCCACACTTGTATTTCACAGTCCTTTGACTTTGGCACAGAAAAGCAGGAAAATGTTGAAAAAGGGATCACAAGGATGGAAATTACTTTGTTCATTTATTTATTTATTTATTTTTTATTAAACACACACAGGAGATGCTAATTTCCACTACTGCAAGAAAAATGTACATTTAGAAAGTACATGGAAAGGCACTGGCGCAGCAGAAAAGTGTTTACTGAAGTCACAGAGTGAGGGGGCCAATAGTTGTTTTTTGACCTTCATAGAGCTGGATTTGCAACTGGAGGAGTCGCCCCCTGCTGGCCATTAAAGGAATGCATGTTTAAGGCACTTCTGCTGGCTCGAGTTCTCTGACCTTCAGCGACTTTCGCACTTTTGTGCGTGTCAGTCCTTTGTGGTTGAGATGACCTTGTTAAGAATATCCCCTCGTCATGATGTCACACAGATCCAAGAGTGGAAAAAACTCTTAAACTGAGTGCTTAAAGCAGTATGAAGCTTTGGCTACCTGCACACATAGTTTGAAACTTTGGTCATGTTTAATATGATCATCCATCCATTATCTTCCTCTTAAGCCAGCTCACAATGACAGCAAACGAAGCTTTTTATAGACTCAAAAGGCGGTTTTTGAGTTGATAATTTTTTAAGAGTCCTTGGGAAAAAAACAAGAAAGTAGAGATCCTCCTTAAAAGAAACACAGTGTGACTTAAGTACTGTAAGTAGTTAATGGTAAACCCTAGCCTGCATTTTGTTGGAAGGTAGTTGTAAAATAAATATTGTAATATTTTTAGTAAGACGCAGTACAGAAAAACCTCTGCCAAGGATCCTCTGCCATATCTACAGTGAGATTATTTTGAGCTACAGTACTGTGAAAAATGTTTGAGTCACCCTTAATTTCTTTATATTTTGCTGGGAAAATGTAAAATACGTGCAGCAATTTGCAGAAACAAGTCTCTTAGGTAAGCTCTCTTCTCATTTCTGTAAGTAGTCATCATGAATAGTCCTCCAGGCTTAAGGACATTTGGCATACCTCAACATTTCCTCCCTGTTTCCCTTTTTAAAGAATGGCTTCTTGATAGCTACCCTTCCATTTCTGACGAGGCTTCAGTGAAAATGGATCAACTGGCAAGGACATGTGCCAGGTCTTTGCTAGAGTCCAACCATTTATTAATATACATTATCCATGTTGTACAAATCCGTGGTATAATACAAAAAATGTTTTCTTCTTACCTCCAAACTATACGACATATTAAAACCTGTTCGTGCTGCATGTCTGGATTTGTAACCATCTTCTTAGCTACACGGAGGTCAGGAGGTTTGAAAGCATCTAATGATGATGGCGCTTTTAGAGAACTGTTCCCGTCAGCAGCTCCATAAACCGCCTCTCTGTTTTAAGAGCCACATTACTCTGTCCCGGTCCCTCTCATCGAGCGCACACTCTCAGAGACATCAGCGCGGTGATAGATGCGCCGTGGCTGAACCACACTCTCTCACGGGCCTGGTCCCCCAGGGGGGGAACCAGAGGAGGGGCCAAAGTGAGGCGGAGGCGGGGCGCACGGTGCTACGGCTGAGTGGAAGGAGAGTGGAAAGTAAGAAAATACCTGAATGGACGATCCGGAATAAGTAAGTAGTATTTCTTTGCGGAAATGTGTTAAAATGTTGGAAGTGGTGCTGTGGATGCTTGCGCGCTGTTGTAACGCTGAGAGGGGAGCTGGGAAGCTTCGGGGCCCCGGAGATCTCCGGTTTCCCCAAACAATAGTCGAGAGGACGCGATGGTCGTTCCCTTTTTTTTTTTTTGAATCCGAAGGGAAGTTTAGGACCCTCGTCGGCGCTATTGTTGACCCCACGGAGGCCACGTAGCTCTCTGGATCGATTTTAAGGAGGAAGAGTTGCCTTTATTAATGTGAATAGAAGCGTAAAAAAAGGAGACTGAGAGTGATGCGCCTGGAAGCAAAGAGCGCGTCCAGTGTGACTGCAGGCCGGAGGGTTTGAATTCTGTCCTCGGCGAAGGGCTGGTGGGAATTTGAGTGCGTCCATTCATTTTACTGCGAGGGCGTCCCGTTTGGAAAAGGAAAGGGGAAAGAAAGGGAGCGGGCGTTGGGATCATTTGGCATCAGGACGCCACCGGTGGGGCCTGGGAGTCTCCCATTGTCCTGCCTTTCTCCAACACCCTCCTTTTTCATCTTGTAGGTCGCACAACTCTTTATACTCGCCCGGTTCTTCGCAGTAAGTTAGCCTTTGGTGGCTCTTTGTGCATGTGGAATATTGTTGAAATATTAATGAACGCAGCTCGACTCTTGAGCCACGCTGCCGTAGCCTGCAGCACGGTGCTAAAATGTCTAAACACAGGCTGTAATTCAAAGTGAAACAGGATAACGTTGCTGCAGCCGAAACAGGCCCTGATTACGCACAGATCCAGTGCTTGAAACGTCCGTTCGCCCTTCAACTTCTAATTTCTAAGATTTGAGTCCTGCTTTTGCGAGATAAAACTACACAATGCTATCACCAGGCTTTAAAAAATACCACAGAATGGCTGTAAACTGCTTCCAGTGGGGATGTTTTAGTGATAAAACGGGTCGTAAACATAGCAGGGGCTCAGTGGAAATGGACTGAAGAAGGAATTTTACACAGTGATACCACAGAGATTAAGAAATATGAAGCACAGCTGGTTCATTGTAGAAGTATTGGTGCCCATTAATTTAGGAAATCTGAAGTATTAAGAAATGCTGGCAAAAATCAACTAGATTTCTCCCCTTATTGTTAGTTAAAATAAAGACTCCAGTATTTTATGTAGAAACATGTTTGGTCTGACCAGGAGTCTTAAACCCAAATACTACAATATTATCAAACAGAGAAAAACACCAAGACCTTCCATATTCAAGAAGCTGATGGAGAAAATGTTAGTTTTCTTTCTTCAAAAGCAGAAAATGTTAGACTTTACTCCTTTAGAAATAAACTGAGGTTTTACTTAACAATTCAAATTGTCCACTGGCCCTTTTCATCTGTAAATTGACTAATTTACCATTTCAGCTCTTCAGACAGCCTGGCTTTCTGCTTAAAGGGTCTGTCCACACAAACACAGAGAATACAGCTTGTCCTCTGACCCCCTGCGGTGTGCCTTCTACTTTGGTTCAATTAAAGTATAAGAGAAGCATGACAACTAGTAATGTGAGTGCAGAGAGAATTGTGCATGTATTTTCAGGAAACAGACATGGTAGAAGGTTTCTATCATGTCATATTTGTGTTTAATCACATGGAATCACATTTTGTTTTCTTTTTAAGTCAATGTGGTTGCTTCAGGTTTAAAAAATGTCCAAAAAAGCTTCCAAATGTCTTGTGATAAAACATAATTTTGGATGTTTAAAGCACTTAAACAAGGAGTCAAATTGATGTTTGTCAGGTGACTCACAAATTAAGTCTTAATTAAGAAATTGCCGCAATATCTACATTAATATTGTCATCATGAAAAGATTTCAGTGCTCAGAAAGTGTTTCCTGAAGGGAATACGAGTGTTTTCTTATTCAAAATAAATGCATCTCTGTTTGACTCATACAGCTCTTTTTGACTGCCTTAAAAAATGCAATAGTTTCTGACTCCAGTCTGATCGCCACATTTGAACTTCTGCTGTTTTTATAGTCTCTGACAGTGAATTATAACACGCCTCTGCATTTTTGGACTTTTTCAAGCAACTCCTGACGTTTTATAACCCAAACAAAGAAAATAATGATGCTCTGACTTATCAGTAACACATAGTTGGCTGCTGTTGTTAGACTCGCCATAGTCATGAATCATCTCAGCCGCTTCCTGTCTCTGCAGTACTTTTGTTTGGATATGAAGACAAATCTATGCAGTCAGAAGACAGGCCTGTTGATTCAAACACACCCTATTAGATTTTCTCACTCGCACACACACGCACACCTGCTCCCGTTTGCTCGCCGTGTGTGCAGACCTGGACAGAAGCAGTTGTCTTGTTGTTCACTGGTTTTACTGATGTGGGTGGCGGTCTCTGTTCTGTCTGTGTGTGTGTGGCCCTTGTTACACTGATGAGCCTCTTCCCCTGTTGGACCCTGGGCGTGTGCATGCTTATTTTCACAGTTGGTGGACTATATCTGGCCTAAAATGGCTATGGAGCGGAGCTGGTCACTTCAGAGGTGTCCCGGCTTGCTTTTCCGCCCTGACAGCTGCCGTCACAGTGCAAGCAGCTCCAAACTTTTTAACGGCAGCTCGATTTCTTTTTGCCGTGGGGAAGGTAGCTGTAAAATCTTCCATGTGCTTGTTTTGATTACCGTGTGACTAGATCTGCACGCTTGCAGCAAAATAATTGCACTGTTAATGGTTTGATTTCATTGTTGGAATCATTTTTTATGGATGAGCATAACCAAAACGGTCTTCTATGAACGTCTGCACTGTTTTAAGCTGTATAGTTACTTTAAATGATGCATGAAGAAATGCATATGAAATCCAAACTGCAAGCCAAAGATGTTTAAACTATGGATTTGACTCAGGAGCGTTGTTGCTTTGAGCTACATTAATTGATTTTGGATGCACTGAGTCATAAACCAGATTGATTTAAATTGAAAACAAAAGGAGTTGGTACAATAAATTCCACAATAAAAAAAATAATGAAGTCGATTTTAGCTGTTGAGGATTGGGACCCTGTTTGAAGGCTGTGTTGTGTGCATATGAGATTTGGTTCCTTCACTCAGGCTTGAATGTGTTTGTCTTCTGTTTTCAGAGGAAGCTGTTGTCTTTGCTCTCAGTTGATGGCGCATATTAAATGACTTTACACTCCCTTTGGCCTGAGCCATAAAACCTTTGAGCCGTGGCTCTAGTAGGCCTGAAGCCCAGCATCATAACTGTTTAATCTTAGACCACACACACACACACACACACACGCAGGTTTCTGGACTGGCTTGCAGTGGACAACCCTGGTGAAATCGGTCAGAGCTTTTTTATTTTTTAGAAATTTGACTCTTTTTGCGCAAGACTATATGGAAAAAGCCATACCGGTATTTGGTTAACAATGTCAGGAGGAACAATGGCTTAGCTGGATGAAAAGAAATGAACCTTTTGTGTAAGGTGCAAATCAAAAACTAGAACCAGTGGTAGGTTGTTATTGCTTTACTGAACAGATTTGTGCTCAGATGTACTTTTACACTGTGGGTGTGTGGTTTCCTTTTTTTTTTTTTTTTATACTAATGCTGCTGATTAAAGATGGAAGGTGAGAATCCTCTTGAAGTCAATGAAGTAGGTCATAGAGGACGGTGGGATGAATAGGAAACCTTATCCATCTTAGTACCGGACCACACCTTTGTAGATCAAGTGTTCAGTCATATTCTCACTATCAGGCCAGCAGACAGGCAGGTATGGCAACAGGATTATTTCAGACTGTAAAGGTCAGCAGACCATGTGCAATCTAGATTTACTCATATCAAAATTTTCTGGTAGCTTAGTGCTTTAAGCCACTTGAAAGTGATGTAATATTTGCAACTTTCTTTTCGAACTTTCTTTAGAGAGGACGGGCCTTTTGCAGGCCTTACTTGCAGAGACGGCCCCGTGCGCTTTACTTTTTTGAAGCATATGTCTCTCATTATACGTATAACAGGCTGAATGTAATGTTTACAAGAAACTGCTTTATCTACCTCAAAGGTCAAATGCTGAAAGATGATGTCAGCGTTTCAGCATAAAAACAGAGTTAATTTTACACTCGACTCCAGTCTTCGTACAGAGAAATCATTCACTGAAGCTGAAAAAAAGCCTTTTTTTTTTTCTTTTTTTTTTAAATTGACAGGAGCCCCAAAAACCCAGAATGCAGTGCTGCTAGGGATCCACCAATTTATCCAAGTTTTACATCATCCAGCAGTTATTTATACTGTACAAGTCAATTTATGTTATGTTATTTATAACAGGTAAAATGCTACAGAGAGCTCTAGTCTCCTTACCAGTCGGCAGATATCGTCCAGTCACAAATTTAACATTATTGCTCATGTTTACTTGGATACTGTCAAAACCTTTTTGAACAACATAAAGCAGAAGGACATGTTTGGAGAGTAATTTAGATAACGCATCATCACATAGCTTATCCTAATTGCGAAAGCTGCTGCAAAGTAACATCACAGCTGAGCAAACGGTGGAGTCAAACTGTGCCGTCAGTGCTCACTTGTTTGGGAAATGCAAAGTTGAAGAGTTGAGAGACATTAACCCCGTGTTTATGTGCCTGTGCATGTAAAACTCAGCAAAACTCTAAAACATCCCCAAATATTAAGTTCAGTCCTTCACAGCCTCGGTGTGCAGCTTCTGTGACAGTTCACATTTTGAGATTCTGAAGTTCCCTTTACAGCTTTGCTACTTAAATACTGATTTTTAAAGGTCAGATAGACTATACTCAGTTCAGTAGTTTGCAGCAGTGATTATGATTGTGAATGCAGTCTTTCATTCTTTGGAGAATACCAAATGTTTATCGATACACCATAGTAAGTGTTATCATGCTAATATTTTTCATTGTTGCACAGTCTTGGTTTCAGTGTATGTTGTCATAAATGTTGTGGTTAAAGGTAAAAAGTCATTGTGCCATGATGTGAGTGACTGGAATAGAAGGACACTTGGCAGGAAACAGAAAATGCAGGAACTTAATTACAAACATTACCCTGCTATGTTTGCTAGGTGTGTGAGCAAATGTGTGTATTTAGCCGGAGGGCTTTTGTGAACAGTGAGCTCTGCTTGTCTGTGTATTCTACATGTCGTTGATTCAGAGGGTTTCACAAGAACCATAATTACCAGTTAAACTTCCAAAGCATGTAGCAGATGATTTATCTTCTGTTTAATCTAAATTAAACTTTCATATCAAATCCTAAGATCCATGTTTTAGATGTAGCCGGTAGGTTTCTCCAGCTTACTTGGCTATCCTAATTTTTGAGACGTTAGTTAGTTAAATGCCTTTTGAATTATTTGTTGTCTTTCATCAAGATGCCATCATCAGGCACGAAATTTCTCATGACCTCTTAAGTCCATCTTTCATTGACTTGTAACTTGAAATCAAGTCTTAACGTTCACAATGAATATTCGCTGTGTTAAATAGTAATACTTTCATTTAATTATCTTACCTCTTTGAGAATATGTCAATATTACCTGAGTGCTTTCATGCTCTGCTGATGATATATCTTTTTTGTTTTTCCCCCTTTCATGAAACTGTCACCACTCCGCCCACAATGGGAGGAAATGTCAAC